GTCACTCCCTCAACATGAAGGAGAAAGCCAAGAAACAGCACAGGTGACTGTGTGATCGGGCCCACCGGGCTCTGAGCTTGCTGTCCCTGTGGGGTGCTCATGCTCATGGCAGCCAAGGGTATGGTGCAGTGCACAGGAGACCCAGACTGTAGCTCCCACACCAGGACCATTAGGGACCCAGTGCAGTGGCTGGGCTGCAGCTGGGGCAGGAGCTGCTGGGGAGGTGGGTGCCCGGCACCATCCTTGCGCTCGGCACCATCTTTGCGCTCAGCAGAACAGAGGCAGCATCCTCAGGGAAGCACGGCCAGCACTGGCACGGCTTCACTTTAAAAACGCATCGTTAAACCCCACAAACCACTGGAACTGTGTGCCTATTGAATGTGAGCACTCAGCCCAAATCATCACTGTGAAACTAAGATATCTACACCTGCTTCATTCTAAACAGAAATGCAGATCTCTCCAAGCAAGAAGCACCTTAAGCTCCTGCCACCAGCATTTGTTGGGAGATGTCATTTTGGTCGGTCAACAGCTGTGAAGCTGACGGGACTTTCGATTTGTATCATTTTATACCACGTGAGGAAATTGTGTAATTACTTTTGCCAACGACTTTTCATTCTTAACTTGGTTTCTCATGGTTTGCAACTGTAATAAGACAAGGTGTTGATAGAGTGCGAACCGTCTTCAAATTTAAAAGGTATAATTGTACATCCACCTTTAATCAGTGCTAAAATATCAACACAGATTAAAACTTCCCTTCCCAAGCTGCCTGCCAGAGGATGTGATAACCCTGCTGCCGACACCATCTTCACGTGCTCTCCGTAACCGTGGGATTTGCGTGATACAAATCATCGCATCTCGTTAGTGAAGCGGCCTCATCTTGACACAGAAGACAGTCCAGTAAGGAGGGAGTAGCACTGCAAAAAGGTGTCTTAGTGCCGGATGTGGGTGGGTCTGATCAGCTCAAGATCCTCTCCCATTCTTTATTTAAACAAAATTTTTAGAGATAAGGTCTCGCTCTATCACCCAAGCTCAGAGGCCGTGGCATGGTCACAGGTCACCACAGCCTGGAACTCCTGGGCTCAAGAGATCCTCCCACTTCATCTTCCTGTGTGGGACTTACAGGTGCACCACCATGCTTGGCTAAATTTTTTAATATTTTTGTGGAGATGGGGTCTTACTATGTTGCTCAGTCTGGTCTCAAACTCCTGGTAAGTGACCCTCCAGCCTTGGCCTCCCACAGTGCTGGGATGACAGGCATGGCCACCATGCCCCACCTCCTCCATTCTTTACTCCCCACAGTGCTAGGATGGCAGGCATGGCCACCATGCCCCACCTCCTCCATTCTTTACCCACGATTATTGCTATTCTTCTAACCCTATGAAATCCTACTGTCCGTCTGCAGCCAAGTAAAGAACACAACTGAAAAGAGAGCTGTTCGTGAGGATTTGCCGTGGCATCTTTCCCACTCCAGGCATTCGTGGGATGCCCAGGCACGCAAGGCCAATGGACATCTCAAGTGAGCAATGGCAACCAATGACTTATAAACTGCTCAAACTTTACATTTTGCTCTCACATCAAATTATTTCCACTTCATTTGATCCTAATGCAGCCTCGTGGAGCGTAACTATTGGCCCTGGCTGACAGAGAAGGCACCTTGAAGTTTGGAAACAGTCAATGACTTGTCCAAAGTCACAAAACAAGCAAGTAAAGCAAGTAGCCAGGAGGCTGCTGTGAACTCAAGTTCTGAACTCCAAGCTCCCCTTCTTCCCTCTTTCATTTCGCCAGCCTCAGCTGTTATGAGATGGCAAAGAACCTCCAGGCAGGGCTGGAGAGGCTGACCTAGACTGGAGCCTAATCCATGGGGCACTGAATACGGCCAACACAGCAGACATCCAAAAGCAGGGACTGACCTAGAGTCAGGAGGCTCCATCGCCGTCAGCTTCACTAGGTAAAGCAGCCAATTGCTGTGGAGGCGCTCGTGGTGATGGGGGCGCTCGTGGGGAGGGGAGGCGCTCCTGGTGGAGGAGGTGCTTGTGGTGATGGAGGCGTTTGTGGGGGGGGGGAGGCGCTCCTGGCGGAGGGAGGTGCTCGTGGCGGGGGAGTCGCTCGTGGTGGGGGAGGCACTGGTGGCGCGGGAGGTGCTCATGTAGGATCTAAATGCCATTCATTTGAACCCTTTTGGTTCTACTGACCAGCGTGCATTTAGCCAACTCATCATCACCCAATGACTTTTTCCACTAATGCAAAAACCTAGAATGCCGTCCTGGCCAGTAAGTCAGAGGCCTGGTGGTTTGCAGCACCCTCCTTATTAAGAGTGACTACAGGGCCAGGGGACTCAGGTGCTAGCCTTGCCGTGTGAATTAACAGGTCAATTTTCAAGAATGGGCCTTCAGAGCTTTGGCATTCCCATGCTGGGAGGAAAAGTGCAAAGAATCGGACGCAAGGCCCGAGAGCCCAGTGGCCTCGGGTGGGTGTTGACCAGGTAAGACCTGCCTGTGACAAGCGTCCCCAGCAGACCAGCTTCTGAGCTATTGTTTCCCACGTGCTGAATATCCTCTGCTGGTCCCGAGTGCTCAGGGACCCATCCCTTCCCATCCCAGGCAGCTCTCGGTCCTGAGACTTCGCTGAACCTCCCCTGCCTTCCAACCAAGAGCTGCCTCTCCCGAGTCCTGGTGTCAGGAGGAACCTCCCCGGGCTCACCAAGCTGACGCTATGCTAGTCTGATCAACTGTGCACTCACAGGGCCACCAACTGCCAAGGGGGTTGTGCCACACACTTCAGCTGCTGTCTAGCCCTGTAGGGTCCCCAAAGCACAAAGAGACAACAAGGGGAGAGTTTCAGATGCCAATGGACTGGTGGAACATAATTTTTTAAATAATTGAGCCTTTCAGAGTCTCTCAAGTCATAACATTTGGACAATTCATGTCTCAAGACCTGAGCTTGTCCCAAGGGGCCCGTAGGCATGGCAGAGTAGGGGAAACCCTCTGCCCTGCCCGAGATGGCCCAGGCTTGTGACCTAGTGCAGCTGCAGGGCAGGACTCCTGGGCTGACCATCAGGGACCCAGGCAGTGGCTCAGCTGCAGCTGGGGCAGGAGCTGCTGGGGAGGTGGGTGCCCAGCACCACCTTTGCACTCAGCACCACCTTTGCACTCAGCACCATCTCTGCTCCTCTGCCCCTACTGCTTCTGTCAAGTTGCCATGGGAACTGGTATTGGTAGAAGAACTCCCTAGAAGTGGCTTCTGGCAGACATCGGCCTCCCCTCAGCTCAGGGACAGCCTGTGAGCTGCGGTTGCAGGAGGAGGGAGCGTGGTGGCACCCATGTGCTGGCTGCAAGTCATGTCTCCAGGTGCCCGGGGGAGGGTGTGGGCCCACGCATTGTCTTCAGGGCCGTCCTGGCCTCTCCCTGCAGGCTCCAAGTGCACCTTCCTCCGGCACCCCTTGTTTTCCTCCTTCAGGTCTCAAAGTGATGCCACGCCAAGCTGCTCTGCGGCACACAGCCCTGAATTAACATGAGCCACTTTCTACTCAGGTATGAAGACACTGCCCTTTCTATGCGGAGGTGAGGGAAAGAGTGGAAACAGCATTCGCTTATGGACAAAGAGCAAAAGAAGAGGCTGTGAAAACAGGCACGGCGGCCTCGCGTCGTGGAAAGACCAGGGCTTCAACACTCAGCAAAACAGAGCGCCAGACGGACAGCAGGCTCCTTCAGCAAAACCTGAGTCCTCGTCCCCCAGGCCCACAGCCCAGCGGCATCTCCGCCAGCAGACGCGGCTCCCCTGGGACTCCTCCAAGTACAGCTCACCTCCAGTGGGCTAGGACGGCTACCACAGGAGGATACACGTGCCCTGGCCACGGCCGCCGGCCATCCTGCTGTCCTCCCATCAGTCTAACCCTACAGGGCCCAGGGCAGTGAAGAGAGAAACCCACGTGCAAGGAAGAGAAACACTTGGGAAACTCAGCAACCCCCACGGTGTGCTCCGTGACCCCCAAACAGCCAGCAGAACCCCCTCCTGCACATCCAGGGTGCAGGGCCTTCTGCTGGATTTCACCTCCCCCGGCAGCTGACTGCACCCGCATCAGAGCCTCTCCCCCAGATCTCTCCGCGGGGACGCTGGGCGTTCCGTGGAGAGAACAGCTGGGACCCCCTCGGCAGCCTCCCAGGCATCAGAGGGTGCAGGAAGGTGGCGGTGATTCACTGTTTCTAACAGGTCCCCTGGCCGCGGAAGCCTCCTGCACATGAGAATCCCACGCACTTCCAAACTCTCACTCGTGTTTTTCAGAAGTGGGTTTTACAAGTTTTGGTGCGTAAAGGTCTTAGTGGAATTTCTATGGGTGTTTATCTAGGCTGCCTCCAAACCCCAGCCAACTAGGGGTGAGCTCCCGCGGCCACCTATAACAGTCGGTCCCTCGCAGTGCACGTGCTGATGCGGTTCCTGAGGTGGAGGGGGAGCTGGAGGGCCCCGGGGGCCCTTCTCCCTGCGCAGGGTGTGAATTCTAAATGAACCTGAATGTGAGGACGAAATGGAACCTGCTCTCCCCAGCAGTGAGTTGGAGGTGGGGCCAGGCGCTCCCCAGCAGTGAGTTGGAGGGGGCCAGGCGCTCCCCAGCAGTGAGTTGGAGGCAGTGAGTTGGAGGGGGGCCAGGCGCTCCCCAGCAGTGAGTTGGAGGGGGGACCAGGCGCTCCCCAGCAGTGAGTTGGAGGTGGGGCCAGGCGCTCCCCAGCAGTGAGTTGGAGGTGGGGCCAGGCGCTCCCCAGCAGTGAGTTGGAGGGGGCCAGGTGCTCCCCAGCAGTGAGTTGGAGGGGGGCCAGGCGTTCCCCAGCAGTGAGTTGGAGGGGGGACCAGGCGCCACCCTCTTCCAGTGGGATCAGCATTGCTTGGTCATTTGCAGGTGAGAACGAGCTGCTCCCATTAACCGTGTTTCCAGGGCATAAACCCCCTCTGTATAAAAACGAACAAAGAAAAGTGGCTGCCGAGCGAGGTGGTTTCCCAGCCTTTGTTTAGCAGCATCCTCGAGTGTCCCCCGAACGCGGCTCCTGGAGTTCCATGCGGGTAGCCCTGTCAATGATGGCGATGCAATTACTTTCTACCACAGTGTTGTCTGCGCTCAGGGTAAAGCCATGATGAAGGCGGCTTTCAGGACTTGTAATTACAGAGCCACGGGTGGCCTCTCTCCTCGCAGCCGGGAAGGTCAGCACAGGTCCTGGGTGCTGCCGGCCCCGAGCTCTACTCCTGCAAACGCTGGTCAAAATGCCAGAAGTAATTACCTGGCTGTTCAGAATGGAGTCACGGGGTGCAGCTCCGACCATCCGATTCCCTAAAGCCTCCGTCCAAACTGAAACTTGTTTAAAACCTCCCGGGCTGCAGCCACGGGGCACCTGCTCTTTGGCAGGCAGAGCCTCACCACAGTCCTTCCCTGTGCTCCAGTCGGCCGGTCTCTGCTGCAGCCCGGGGGAGGCGCTCCCATGCAGACAGTCCTCACCTGTGCTCCCAGGGGGGAGGCGCTCCCATGCAGACAGTCCTCACCTGTGCTCCCACTGGCCGGTCTCTGCTGCAGCCCGTGGGAGGCGCTCCCACGCAGGCAGGAGTTCTTGTTCTGTGTCCAGCCCACGTGGCCCTGGACACAAGTGGGGCCTGGTTCACACACTGCAGCCCCTCGCCCACCCACCCCCGACACAGCAGGTCCAGCAGGGAGACGGGCCCTGGGCACTGAGCCTGCAGGGCCTGCTGTGCAGACCCTACCAGCCCCACCGGCCCACCCTTCCCGCACCGCACCCTCCGCTCCTTCGTCTGTTTCTCCTGCAGGCTCCTCTTTTTAGTTACTCCTCATCGCCTGTGTCTGTGCCGCGAGTCCTAGAGCAGGAGGACAGCCTGGTGCTTCCCCCCAAGCCTCTCTCTCACCCTCCCTGGGTGACACCCCAGCCGGGCAAGCTGTGGGATCCTCAACCTCGTGGCTGTGGAGCGGCAGGGTGAGCGCGAGCCCTGCACCAGCCACAGCCGAAGCCCAGGAGCCCCCAGCCACGCGGATCCTGGTGGCAGCTCAGCTCCAACGAGGACATGACACAGTGGCCCATGCACAGCGGAACGCGGGGCCAGGCCGCCCAGGCCACACCTCCAGCCTCACTGCTCTGGTGCTGTTTCCTCAGCTGCGCCCTGGGGGTCTGGCGAAGGGGAGCGCTAGGATCCCTGTGCCTGGAAGACCCTCCAAGGACAGTGCAGGTCCTTGGAGAGTCACTTTCATCAGTTTGACAGGTGTCTCATTCACCTGCACGTGGAGGCAATTTTCTCAGCAAGTGGCTTTTTTGAACATTTCCGAAGCATCTTCCTTCATTTCTAATAAGTGCAACTTCCTTTTCACACTCAAGACTCAGGAGTTCCTCTTGCCTTGTTCCAATCTCTTAATCACGAGGGTGGTACCGGAGCGTGGATGGGCTTCGGGCCTCACCAGCGCACAGCTCCACCCGGCGTGGCCTCCCTGGGGAGCGGGTGTGTGGGAGCGTGGATGGCTTCGGGCCCCACCAGTGCACAGCTCCACCCGGCGTGG